CAAAATACTCTTTTCTTCATTTTATGGTATCAAAAACGATAAATATTACCAGACATTATAAAAATCCACCTACTCTCACTTAAACCTCGACCCATTTGCATTATCATGGGACCCAAAAAATCCTCAATTTAAACTAGTCAATTGGAAAGATAATAATATTGTTTTTATTGGTTCATATTATAGTTACAACACCCTCGACTATTTCAATTTCGGTAGATACAGCTGATTGCATTGTTAGCTCTGCAACATTTTATAAAATAAACTGTACTATTTCAAGCTCAGTACCATCAGGAAATTCTATATCAGCATTGGTAAAAGTAGGTGAAATTTCTTCTACAGTATTAATTTCCAGTAACCAAGTAACTTTTTTTAATAATTGTGGCTGTGTAAACGGGGATTGTAATCCCAACGATGGAACCTGCAAATGCTACTCCAATCCATATCCATGGGGAGGTAGTGAATGTGATATACCTTTACATTATGTCTCATCTATTGATGAGTCATATACGGAAGGCGGAAATGCTACGTTCTATGGTTGGTTTAGTAATACCCATAACAATTTGTATATTTTCATTGGCAATGAATCTTGCTCCCCAATTTATGAAACTACAAATGATAGGTTAGTCTGCAAAGCACCACCCAAAAAAGGATCCTTCATAGTTTTTATTTATCAAAATTATCAGCGTTGGTATAGTGAAAAAATTTTATATAATTATAAAGAACATTCATTTGAGTGCCCAAATAATTGTACTGGCTCAGTAAATGGAAGGTGTAATGGAACCACCGGATATTGTTTATGTAATAGTGGATATGATGGCCCAGATTGCAGCATCGTAAATCCCAACGACAAAAATGAAAACTTACCAGGAAATGAAAACAATATTAATAAAACAACCGGATCAACTACAATAAAAAATGAAAAAACATCATTCGATATATCAATCTATTCTCTTATTGAATTTGATATTTTAGGTACACAAGTTTCAAACTATTCATTAAAATCAAATTGGGAAATAAAAGATAGTGGTAACAATTCAATCTATCCATTTAGCCAAACAATTCAAGATCAAAAGTGCCAAATCGATTATATTATAGAAGAAATTAAACAGGATAAAATTATTTCATTTGCCGATATCGACTTTAAAGTAAGCAGTGGCTCAGTTAAAATGACAATTATTATCTCAAACTATCAATATGCAAACTATTTAAATACACTACAGCTTTTAATGGAATCATCGGTATTGGATAACCCAAATGATAGAAACTGTAATAGTGAAGATACAAAAATCGATACAATTTCAAACCAAATCGATTCTTTATCCTTTATTACAATTAGAAAAAACTCTAAATTATTAAATGGAAGAATCCTTGACCGTATTATTTCTGATGATAGACCATCCTCGATTTCAACATCGATTGTATCAAAAAATAACAACTCAATTATTATTGGAATGAATCTTCCACGTTGTAAAGTTTGCAAAATTGATCCAGGTATTTATAAAAATATCAATACACACTAATTATTAAATTATTTTTAAAACCCATTTACTAATATAATTTTAACTTAATGCAGATTTTTCCTTATTGTTATCTTCAGATTTTAAATCCTCATGCCCAAATAATAATAAAAAATGGCTAATACCAGTAGCAGTTGTTGTACCTGTGGTTGTGTGTGCACTTATAGTGATCGTTACCGTTTCTTTATATAGAAAGAGGAGATCAATCTCTATTTTAAGAGAGAATATAGTTTTAAAAATGAAAAATATTTCAAAAAATAAATAAACAACTCACATAATATTTAATTATAATCAATAAGTGTAAAGAACAAAAAACCATTTGAATCAAAATAGAAATTAGAAATTAAAAATAAACACACCCACACAATTAAGAAATAAAAAAAAAATTAGTTTATATATAAATATAAAAATAATTTGATATACAAATATATAGATCAGATCTAAATGTATTTTGCATTTTATTTTAAATAAAACTACTTTTTATTTTTTTATTTAGAAATTATGTAATATCTATTTATAATTTTTTTATTTATCATAAAAAAAAAAAATAAAAAAATAAAAAAAATGAAAAAATAATAAAAATAATAACAAATAATTTTTTTTTTTATTTATTTAAATATAATTTTTTTTATTTATTTATTTATTTATTTATTTATTTATTTATTTATTTATTTATTTATTTATTTATTTATTTTTAATTCAAAATTATTTTTTTTTTTATTTAAAATAATCATTTATTTAATTTTAGTATCACTATTAATACTGCAACTAAAAAATATAAAAAAAAATAAAAATGTTATTTAAAAGAAATATAATAATTTTAGTCTTATTAATAATTTATATAAGCACAGTTTTTTCAATTGAAAACTGTAATCCAAAGTATTGTCTTTCTTCAATAAAATGTCCAAAAGGCCAAAAACTAGTAAGATATCCATTTAAATGCTGTGGTCAATGTGTTCAAATTAAAGAACGTGAATGTGATTTTTCAAAATGCAAATCAAAATTCACATGTAGAGACGATGAAAGATATTCCACTGATGGTTCATCTTGCTGCCCAAATATTTGTGTTAAATAATAAAACCAACTCCATAACCACAAACTTCCCGTATATATTTCGTAAATAAAAAAATCAATAATAAAATTATAATAATAATAAAATTATAATTTAATTCTTTAAAACTATTTTTCCCTCTTTTTTAAAATTTTTATTTATTAACGGATGGTTTAATAAGAAATATAAAAAAAAAAAACTTAATATTAATAAAAAAAAAACAATAAAAAAAAACTTAATATTAATAAAAAAAAAATCATCTTATTTACTAAAAAATTATTGAATATTTTAAGAATAAATAACTTAAAAAAAATTAATAAATATTTGCTATAAAAAAAATTAATAAATATTTACTATAAAAAAAATTAATAAATATTTACTATAAAAAAAAAAAAAATTAATAAATATTTACTATAAAAAAAAAAAAAAAAAAAAAAAAAAATTATATTATTGAAAAATTTTATAGATTGTTTGGAAAAAAGATATAGTTATATTTATTTGTAATATCTATTAGCTATTTATTTATATTATAAATATACCATTTTACCTAAAGAAATAATATTAATATTTTAATACCAATACTAATGCAGTTACTATTATTTAAATAAATATTATTTAAATTACTATTATTATTATTTTATATATTATTATTATCTATTATATTATATAATTATTATTATTATTTATTATTATTACTATAACTATTACTATTATTTAATACTAATATTTATAATTATTATTAATATATAAAATTAGAGTTCGGCTATTAATCACCAAGATATTTTAATTGAATATTGTAAACATCCATTAAATCATATAAAACAAATAAACTGAAAATAAATCTAGTGCAATAATTTGAAATGGTTTCATTACGACCACGATTAGAAATATCGATTTTAAGATATTTACGTGATACGAAACGAATAGCTAAATCGTAAGCAAATTCAAAGCCTAAAAGGTAAAGGTATCTATAAAGCAATTGATGGTAATTGGCATCGGTTAATTGATTAAAAGCGGTGTAATTTTCTCTTTTCCATTTTAAACCTCTAATTAACGAAAGGAAAGCAATCATAGTAACCAACGATATGTATTCGGCCATTTTATCGTAATAATACTCTACTGAAAGATTCATAATATGTTTATCGTATGATGGATTTTCATCAGCCAACATTTTTCTTGCAATTCTAAAGATTTTGGAGGTAGTTGCTTTTTTATCTAAATATGAAACCAATGTGTTGTGTCTAAATAACCAAAACTTTTTAGTCATATGTAATGGGTAATAAACCACATCGATTAAAAAGATAACAAAACTAATTAAAACGGTAATACCCCAATCTATATTATTATTTTTATATAAAAAAAAAAAGAAGAGAAAATTAGCAAAAATTCATTATATATATAAACAAATTTTAAACTACTTACTATTTGTATTTAAAAACAAATTTCTATAATAAAGGAAAAACATTAATGGAAATTGGAAGAGTGTAAAATACTTGATTTCAGTTGGTTTTAATAAACGATTGAGACCATTTGAAATACCCATCAAAACAATACGACTGGCTTGGAAAACAACAATGGAAAACAAAGCAAGGAATGGAGTTCTAAAATAATTGTATTCACGAATGAATAATTCGAAATTATGTAACCAAAACCAAGTGCCAATAACAAAAAGTTGATAGAATACTACTGATAAATAATTTCTATAGGATATTTCATATTTTGGACGTAATGTATAATTTTCAGCAGTGATTGTTTTGGTTCTAGTTTTAAATGAACTATCTTGAAGATTACCTTGCTTATCAGTTTTTAAGGTTTCTTTGAAGGCACTTGAACTGAGGAATGAGTGTGCTGGATTTGATGGTTTCTCTTGACTATTTGAAAGGTCTTGGAAAGTGTTCATCTCGATGGCACCAACATTCATATCATCTTGTGCCTCGTTGTCATTTCTACCATTGGTTTTAAAATTTTCACCTGATACATCTATTGAACGTGGACCGCCATTACTACTATCTCTGAGTGATCTTTCACGATCGATTTGTTTAAGGGCATCTTCTTCATCCATATCGATTAATCTATAGTAACACATAATCCTTGAAATCCTTTTAGTCCACGATTTTGATTTTCTTTTAGTTCTTCTATGGCCCTCTGAATCGTAAATCTCTTCTTTGTCGTCAATAAAATTCTTCTTTAATTTGTAGTATGCGATATAGATGAAATAACAGATTGTGCATAAAAGGAATGTTATACCATCGATGAATGAATAGGATAAACGATTTGTTTGCACATCTATTTTTGTAACTACTTTGAGCCAACCAATTGAAATACCAATAAAAACTAGGAAAAATGCTGTAATCATTAACTTGCTGCATCCTGGTAAATTTAGATCATAAAATGAAATCCATGTGAAAAACATCACAACGTAATATACCATACTAGTGCCTGAAAATGCTACATACGACTTTACTGGTAATAACAACCAAAGACAACATAATGCTACCGGTAAAAATAAGAAATTGGCATACACTATAAAACTTCTAAGTGAAAATAATTTAAACATTTTTATTATTTACAATCTATTAATAATGCTATTCGTTATTGCGATTTATTATTTATGATTATTATCTTTATTTTTAATGCTATAGTTATTACTATTTTTTATAAAAATGTTTAAATTATTTCTTTTTTTTTTTTAAATTATATATTTTTAAAAAAAATAAAGATATTTTTTTTTTATTTTATTTTTTTATTTTTTTTAAATAAAAAGAAAAATATATTATAATTATTATTTATTTATAATAAAAACTATAGAGTTTTTACTTTTATAATAATAAAATTATTATTTTTTCTTTTTTTTTTTTTTTCTTTCTTTTTTTTCTTTTTTTTTTGAAACGATCAAAAATATTTAAAAATTTATAAAAAGGTAAAAAAAACAATGAAAAAATTATAACAAACTATTCTATTATTATTTATTATATAATATTATTTGCTGTGTGTTTTACTATTGTCTTGGCTATTACTTTGTTGTAATTTTAAAAAAAAAAATTATTTTTGTACCACTGTTATTTTTAATGTGTGGTCAGAAGTTAAAGCTGTTAAGAGCAATTAAAAGAACTAAAATTATTTTAAACGACTAAAAAAATTAAAAAAAAAAAGAAAAAAAATAAAAAAAATAAAATTTTTTTTTTTTTAACCGGTTTGCAGAAACTTTTTTTTTAATTTTTTATATATATATTTTTTTTTTTTTTAACAATCTCACCATATGGTGCGATTGTTATATGTGTTAATCCAAAATCATGCATTTTACACCAAAAATCATAAATAATGGGTGATCAATTGACCAAATAAAATTTTTTTTTTATTTATTTCTTTTTTTTATAAACTGTAAAAAAATTATTAAAAAAAAACTAGAAAAAAAAGTAATCAGATACTATATTTATTGGTTTTGTTATTATTTTTATTTATTATTTTTTTTTTTATTTTATCCAATTTTGATGCACACAAAAAGAAATGAAAATAAAAAAGAAAATAATTTTCTTTGGAATTTTTTTTTTAAAAAAGAATAGATGATGGTGATCATGTTGCCATCTGATTTCCTTTGTCCAATATTTTATTTTTTTTTTATTTTTTTTTTATTTTTATTTTTTTATTTTTTATTTTTTTTGGAAAATTGCATTGGTATCCAAACAGTAATCAATTTTTGACAGTTACCCCTCTTTTTTTTTTGTGAAATTTTTTTTTTTTTGAAATTTTTTATTTTGGATTTTAAAATAAAAAAAATTCAAAAAAAATTCAAAAAAAAAATAGATAAAAGTATGTTCAATTATCTATTTCAAAAACAAATATAAATTTTTTTTTGATTAATCTTTTATTTATAAATAGAATCAAAACAATTTAATATTATTTTTTTTTTAAAAAAAAAAAAAAAAAAAAATGAAATATTAAATTTAAAAAAAAAAAAAAATTTTTTTTTAATTTTTTTTAATTTTTATTTCATTTTTTTTTAAAATTTTTTTTTAAATAACTACATATTAATTAACTTTTTTTTCTATAACACTACTTTATAACTTTTTTCTAATTTTTTTAAAAAGTATCAAAAATCATTTCATACAGATTGTAAATAATAAAAGTAAAATAAAATACAATACAATACAATTATATAAATAGTATTATAAAAACATATAAATAATAATAATAATAATAATATACAATAAATAGAGTATTTTAAAAATGACAAAAAAGATACAATTCAAAGGACCAGTCACAAAGTGGGAAAAAAGATGGGTAACAGTAGGACATATGAAGCTTTTAAAATGGGTACCATGTAAGAATTTAAAAATTAATTTTTTTAAAAAAAAAACAAAAAAACAAAAAATATTAAAAAATGAAAAATGGAGAGGTAAACTAATCGAGATTTTATTTTTTTCTATTTTCAAATGATCTTATAGTAAAAACTAAAAGACCAAATCCTCAATCTACAATTTCGAGAAAAGAAGGCACATCAAGACAAAGTCAAGCCTCACTTAATATGGAAACAAGATTTTCAAGATCTGGTCGTAGGGATAGAACTAAAACAGTTGATGATCATGAACACCAAAAGGAGATTGAAATGTTATATTTAAGTAGTTTACCAAAAACAAGAAGAACCTCAAGAAAAATAGATCAACTTCAAAAGAAACATTTACAAGATGCAGGCATTTCAGATGATTTACATCCATCATCAGCAGATGAAAAGCCAACTTCAATTAGAACACCATTTAAAAAGATTGGATCAGCAAGAGTGAACAAAGCAATGTTATCACCATCATCCGATATTAATGCACTTGGTTCCGACAGTGAACAATCAACTACCAATACAACTACCACCACTACAACTTTAACTCCATCCACTAAATCAATCGAAAGTAATAGTACAATTACCAACACTACAGCAATTAACAGCTCTAAAAACATTACCCAAAACGATAGCCCATCGAAAAAAGATGACGATAAAATGTTGGATGATGAAGATGAAGATTTAGAAGATGACAGCAAATTGGATGATGATGAAGATGAAAGTAGCTCAAGCGAAGACGAAGCTAACATCGGCAATACAAGTGTAAATGATGAAGATGACGAAGATGAAGATGACGAAGATATTAAACCTCAACAAAAATCAAATAACAACAATAATTTAACAGATGACGGTACAACAAATGAAAGTCTTAGCAATGGTTTAGCAGATAAAATGGAGTTCGAAACCTTACCAAATATTGATTCTAATGTGAATTCAGAACCATTTGGTTATTAATAATTTGTATAAAAAATAAAGAAAATAATAAATAAAAAAAAAAAGAAAAAAAGAAATAATAAATAAAAAAAAAGAAAAAGAAAAGAAGATTTTTGTAAATATACAATAATAAATAATTATTTATTACTATATTATTATTTTATATAAATATTACTATGTTTTTATAAATATATATTGTTATTATTATTATTTTATAAAACTATTATTATATTTTAAAAAAATTTGATTGAGGTCGTATTGGTTCTTTCTCTTTTTAATATTTCATGGTTTGGGAAGGTTTTAATTGTTTTTTGAAGTTGAGGGTATTCTACAACGGTTTTATAGTCTAAAGCTCTCCATAATATATCTTTTCCAGTGTGGAACTGTCTTAATCTCATTCTCCATTCAATGATTTCTTGTTTTCTTTGATTCTTTTCTTTGTTTTTGGATGATGGATAACTACCAATAATATAATGAATAATACTTTCTAAGCCTAAGGTTGAATCTTCTTCGGTTTCCTATTTTATAATAATATTGTTAAAAGATGATTAATATAAAATTATAATAATTTTTCAAAATAAGGTGTTGTTAAAAATATCTTACCCAAGCTAAATATAAAGAGTAAAAAAATAATTCGCTTGTAATATCTTCATCCGGAAAAGCCTTCTTTAAGTATACAAATGCTAAGGTCATTACATATCTATCTATTTCTGGGGATCTCTTGAAAAATTCTTTATGATGGTCAATCATCTTGATGAATTCATATATCTTTGGATCTATATCTTTCTTTTTATTAAATTCTAAAACTTTTTTAAATATCTTCTTAATTGTATTGTTCTTTGGGGAAAAAGTAGGTTTGTTATTTACGACTGCACTTGAAGGATGTTTTTCCATATTATTACCGTATATTTCTGATGCACCAGCATTTTGACTCTTTGAATTAAAGTTTTTATCTTGTACTACAATACTATTATCTACACAACCATCCATATTAATAATATTATTATTGTTACCTACTATTAAGTCGTTATTATTATAACTACTATTCATCTTTTTTAAATATTGTTGATGTTGTTGTTGTTTTATATCTACTATTTGAGATGATGACTTTTTATGATGTATATTATTATTACTAATGTTTAAAAATTCTTTATTATTTATACTGCTTTCACTAAGACATTGTTTTAAATCTCCCAACTTCTTTTCTGAAGCGTCAATTGATTTCTTTTTTTTAGAAAACATCATCTTTGTCATTATTTATAAAATGAAAACAAAAATGTATAATATATGAATCGGAGAGAAATAAATAAAGATTTTATTATATTAAAATATAACTTATCTTTTTTCCTTTTTTCTTTTTTTTTTGTCTATGTAAATTATTATTTTTTTTGTTTGATTTATAAATATATTTATATGGGTTTTTTTATTATAAATAAAAAAATATTATAAATAAATTATAATTATAAATTATTTAAAAAAGACAACAAAAATAAATAATAAATAATAAATAATAAAAAAATTGTGAAAATAAACAAATTTAAAAAAAAAACAAAACTATAATTATTTTTTTTCTTTTTTTTTTTTATAAATTATATATATAAATTTATAATAAAAATGATTTAAAAATTTAAACTATATAGGGAAAGGTTTTATACAAACAAAAATATGATATTTATATAATGGAAACAAAATAAAAATTATATATTTAAAAACAAAAAACTATTTGGACTTGTTTGATTTGATTTGATTTGATTTTTTTTTTGAAATTGGTTTAAATTAAAAAAACTACTTGATTTTTTTTTTT